GATCCGCTGACGAAGCAACATTAGGCAACAGTTAGGATTGTCTGTACTCGGCCGTTAGTAGGTGGCTGGGTTGCTGAACCGCTAGAGCGGATCTGTGGAATGAAGTGAAATGAAACGGGCAACGTAAAGGTCGGTCAGCGGTTTATTATTGATGAGCCAGAGATGCAGGGGTACACTTGACCCTGGCTAACGCCCGTGCGATTGGCATTGTTGTTGTTGTTGTTGATGCTGTTATTCTGGGTTTTTTTGTTGGTGTCATTAACAGCCGGCGAGCTGGCTTGGCAGCTGGCATTCCATCATTTTTAATGTGCTTGCTCATAAAAAATCAAGTGCAACAGGTTGCCGAAGATACGAAAAACGAAAAACGAAAAGCGAAACAAAACAAAGCATCGCACTTACAGATGCATTCTAACTGTTTGCAATTGATGGGGCATGGGGCATGAGGCATGGGGCATGGGGCGTTGGTTCATGAGGCGTGCCGCAAATTGACAAATCATCTTGACACCTCGCGCGCCACACTATTTGGCATTGGATGTCATAAAAATGGGCTACGGACATGATTTGCAATGCAATAAACTTAATTGAGTGCGCGTCAGTTTTTAATTTTAAACCGTCAGGCTGGGTTTCGCGCTGTGAACCGGTTCTCAACACACACACATTTAAAAATAGAATAGATAGTGAACAAAATTATACATATATATGATTTGGTACAAAGTGTCGATACGAAGGCGAGAAGTCGTTAAGAATCTTTGATGCCGTCATGGGTTAAGATACGCTGTTTTCGGTCATTTTTAATGATGCCATTAAAATCGCTGGCATTTCACATAAATACATTTATATACTATATATATATATATATATATATACGGCTTCTTTTGGCTGTTGCTCAGATTCGAGTTTAGTTATTGCATTATAAAATTCCACTTTTATTATATTCCGTTTAAACGGCGCCAAAACACACTTCGTATAATCGACTTGGTTCGGTCATCATTAATTTCGAATTTGCAGTGAGCGATAAATATTCCTTATAGCAGCCATAAATCGGCCTTACGAGAGTCTGACGTGACGCACTTTTTTTCGCAAATTGTCAGCTACTTTTGGGCTTCGCACACACACTTTCTCTCTCTCTCTCTGTCCCTCTGTCTCTCTCTCTATCTCGCTCTCTATGTCACTACTTGCTTGTCTGTCTTTCCGTAATCAATACGAAATTCTTAGGAGTGTGTGTGAGTTCTATATTTAAGAAACGAGAAAGCTCTGCTCGGACCTCCTAAAGCCTTCTAACAAATGATATTTCAATAATTCTTCGCTACTATTCCACATACACGAAAAACTTTTCTTATAGATTAAATATCTTTATTTATGCCAAAGAACAAATCTCTATTATTGTTATATATTACTAACAACGGTATTCCAATTTTAAGCATGTTATTCCCATTAACCTATTTTCATATTTTAATCCACTAATCTATAGCTTAAAGCAATTACAATCAAATTAATTGCAATTGAATTTTATTTATATACTTCTTACATAAAAATAACTATTAATAATGCTGTTAGTAATTTTACATTTCATTTACATACCTTAGTTTTAAATTCATCTGGCTATCTAAAACGAATTCAGAATTTTTTTCTTATTGTTAGCATTATAGCTGATTGCAAATAAAACATAAATTAAAACACAAAAATTTTAAATATTTTATATATTTTGTAAGATAAGCATGTTTTTTTATTTATGTATGAGGAAAGTATAAATATTAAATATGAAGTATTAATATATATATATATATATATATATATATATATATATATATATATATATATATATATATATATATATATATATATATATATTTATTCTCGATATAGACGATGAATTGAGACGCTCTAGCACTGTTTGTCTGTCTGCATACATAAACGAGTCCATCGTATGATATATATCAGTTGGGAATATGAAGTATTGAAGTGTTTCTGCCCAAGCAGAGTATCTTTTAGTCGGGCATTCCCAACTAAGGCACTGCTACTGTATTTATAGATACTTTTGTTATTGTAACAACAAACACAAGGTGAATCATGCCTATTTTATTTTAATTTTGAACAATTAAAATAAGCCTCATCTAATGCGCCGTAATGTCTGCCGAGGACAGCATGCGAACAGCAAATCCCGTCGTAAGCTGCACTTGGAAAATGACTGAAGAGTCAACATGATGCGATCTGCGATACGGGCTTAGTTAGAGATACACAGATACAAAGCGATACGATGCAGATACAAAGATACACCTGACTACAAAAGCAGTCAGAATGAAGGAGTGTGCGAGTGTGTGTCAGTGAATGTGTGTGAATCTGTGGTATTTCCGTCATTTAAGCAGCGGCTTAAAGTGTTTCTTCATTAGAATAACTGTCATAAAAATAAACGCATAAAATTTCAAAAATACTCACCGTAAGCGGATCTAATCATTTTCCCATAAAGAGACGCAGCTGCTCAAGCAAAATCTGCTTAAATTTCACCTGAAGCGCTAATTTGGCCAATAAACACACCAAAAATGTTCAAAAATAATAATAATAAACCCAATACCAATAACAATAAGCAACAAAAATTCGATGGAAGCCATCAAACGTGCGAAGCGAAGGCGCCATTGAGCCCCCGTATTGGATTAGTGTGACAAAGGCAGTGCCAAAGTCAACAAACAATAAAAAAAATGGGATACCGAAGAAAAAGTTAACTATAGAAACAAATTTAAATAAAATGTATATTTATGCAAGAAAGTAATAAAAGAACACCTATTCCACTCGAGCAATAACCAAAGCGAATACAGTGAACAGAGATCTCGACATGCCGAATACTGTATACTCTGCATTCAGAGATGATATCTATATGAAGTGCATATACATAGAAGCAGACCTGCATGATGCGCATCTTGTGTTAAAATATCTTTTAAATAAGGTTCGATGGATATTATCAGATATTTTATGAAATGAAACTCTTAGAGCGACTATAGAGTTCACAACTGAATGTAAAATTTATGATCGAATAGTGATACCCTGTAGGGGGGGATGCAAACAGGCCATTAAACAAACATTAAACTATACTCCGCATTCGTAACAAGGAGTGTGAAACATCACTTCTATAAGAATAAAATGGTTGTGAGGGTATCTCGTAATCAGCTAGTAAACGCCTTCTAAAGAGATCTTTATTTCTGCGTTTCGCGCACGATTCATAAATATTATAGTAAATTGCCCATCTGATTAACAGTGATATATGTGGATGACGCCAAAGCGCGTTATGCAAAGCGATTGTATTTGGGTTATTCTGGAAGTGCTGGGCATATATTATGGCTAATTAGAGTATTGACTTGAGATTGGCTTCAAGTTCGTAAATGCTTGAAATAGAACTGAGGTCTTAATGGGAGCGGAAATTGAGAAATCTTCTGGACTGATTAATCGATCTGGTTGCGCAAACTTCCTGCGGGCAGCATCGGCGACAATTGATTTGTGTATTTCAATTGATTGCTTAACATATTTATTTATTTATATATTTTGTTAAGCAAATTCATAAATTATTACTTTTGGCGCATAATAAAATTTCATTAGCGAACGTCGCCGACGGCGCGTTGGCGTTGTGTTTGAGGCGCGCGCAGACGGCGCCAGGTTCGAATCGTTGTTGTTGCTGTGGGGACTGTGCGCCTCCGCCTCGCTTTTCGGCCTTTGTTTTGGCCAGATCTGTCAACTGTTGCTTCGTAGAGTGCGCAGACGATGGTGGAGAGCGAGGCTTAATAAATCTTAATAACAACGACACCGGCATCTATTTTGATGGCTTGGATTGGATTGGCCTGGCCACTCGTCGCACTTGCGCTCGATTTGCATATCGGTGACTCGAAAAAAAGAGCTTAAGCATTCACACACACACGCACAATTTTGTTTCTCTCGTTGGGTAATTAATTTTGGACAAGCCATAAATCTTGTATACTTTGCATATATTATTATTAATATTACATATTTCTCTATGAGTTATCCGGCGTGTCAACATTCCAGCAAATCGTACGTATCAAGAGTTTTCCCTCGCTCAACAGCTCGAACGCCCACGCGCTCCCAGCTCGTGGCCTTTTCGCTTTTTTGCTTTTTTGTTTTCTTTATGACAGCCGCTCGGATTGAGGTCATAGATGGAGATTAACACATTGTCACATTGTTGGAGATTCTTATCAATTGTTACACGATTTTCGTATTATGCTCATGGGCTGCCCATTTCTGAAACGAAATTCCATGGGGTCGCTCTTCACTTTTGCCAGATGACCCCACGACTCGGATGTGATCTGATGTCAGCTTAAAAGCACCAAAATAAATCAACGAAATTTTTATTTAAAATGGACAAGTTTTCTTCTTTAAGGCAACTGCTGGGCAAGTAGGTGAAGGATCGTCGATAGCTCAAGTAGAAGAAATAGAACAAAGTGTCTGCATTGAAGTCATCGACTTCGAAAAGAGAGAATGGTCGCCTGAAGAAAATCTATTTATCTAACAAAATAAATATAAATAAATTAAATTAAATAAAAAGACTTCCTCTATAAAATGAGTATATATATTCTTTAATCGAGTCTGCCTGATAGCATTCGAAATGTAATTTGGCTTCAAATTGTTTGTTTTAAATATTTAGTTAATTGAATTCGTCTGTTATATCTAAAGACCTACAGCCACCAAACTTGGTATATGAATTCTCTTTAAGTATAAACAATATATAGAAGACAGAAAGACATTGATCTTTGTCATGTGAACTCTCCTCGAATATAAATGAAATATAGAGTATTCGAATATCTTGGGCTTAGGTATGTGAATTATCCTTGATTGTAAATTAGGTATAGAGTATTAGATTATAGGAATATATTGATACTCACTTCTTACTCATCGTATGTTCACTCAAGGCAAACAAACCTGTGGTAGTCGCCTTCTCCTCTACGAATTCCAATGGGCAAATCTTCGCTCGTGCAACCCCAATCAGATTTGATTTCCTGTCAAGGAATGCTGCCCAACCCGTGCGAAATGAATACGGCAGGTTTGTATTGTACTACATGTGTTTCATATTTATTTTGAATTCGTATCGTTTCATCGTCATTCGCAAATTGCTCATTATAATTACTATTATGGTTATGATTGGGCTGCAGCGCCGCATTGTTATCATTGCGATTATCGTTAACAACGTTAATATTAGCATCATAATAATTAATATTAGGTTGTTGCTGCTGCTGCTGCTGCTGTGCCTCTTCCTGTTGTTGCTGCTGCTGCTGCTGCTGCAATTCTAGAGCTGTAAAGTAGTTCTCTGCTCTCGGGCTGTCATTGCTGTTGCTGTCGTTGTTGCTATGGCTATCGTCGCTTATATTATGCTCAACAATATGATTGCGATTGGGCGCAACAACAGTTGCTGCTGCAACAGTTGGTGCAGCTGCGCTGCTGCCGCTGCCGCTGCCGCTGCTGCTATCAATTCGATCGTTTATCAACTGCTTAAGATTATTGTCAATGGTATCATTGAATTTGAATTGAAGAACGCCCCCCTCACTACGGCTATGGCTACTGCTATGGCTACGGCTATGGCTACGGCTATGGCTACGGCTATGGCTATGGCTATGGCTATTTGGACTATAGAACTTAGTGCTAATCTCTAAACTACTAGAATCAGTCGTGCTACTTTTAGTATTCATATTATAATGCTCGTTTCTGTACAAGTAGTTGTAGTTTTTTGGCAAGGCAGGTATTGCATTATTAACATTAGGGCTATTACTATTTAAATTTAGTTCTACGTTTAGTTTATGTTTCAGTATTAAGTTTAAGTTACTATTAACATAGGCTTTTGAGTATTCATTTTGTTGTTGTTGCTGTTGCTGCTGCACACCCTGTGTCTGTTGCTGCTGTTGCTGCTGCTGCTGCTGCTGGGAAGACGTCTCCACCAGCTGCATGTCCATGTCAGCTGCATTGCTGCCAGCGCTAGCCGCTGCTGCTGCTGCTGCGCGTTTTCGGCGGCCGCGCTTCCGACGGCTCGCCGCCAGCATGGCGAACAGGTTGAGCGCTGAGGGCGCCAGCGAAGCAGTCGCTGTGAGCGCTGTTGAGGCCGCAGTCGCTGTGTAGGAGGAGGATGAGGAGGACGAGGCCGTGGGCAAGGGCAACTGTTGCTTGCGCTGCTCACGCTGCTCACGCTGCTGCTGCTCTTCGAGCTGCTGCTGCTGCTGCCGTCGCTGCATGCGCCGGCGTCGTCGACGCTCCAACAGCGTTGCATTGTTGTGATGATGACGCACCATCAGGTTCTTCGGCTGTGGCTTGACCATGGCGCCGACGGCTTTTTGTTGCTGCCGCTGCCGTTGCCGCTGCCTGTGCATCTGCTGCTGGCGCTGGCGATGCTGCAGGCGTCGCTGATGTTGCTGGTTGCGTTTGATGATCTTCTGCTCGCGCAGCGCATCCTCGTTCGCTTTGTTGTTGTTGTGGGACTTACGACTATGCTTGTTGTTGTAATTACTATTGCTATTGTTTTTGTTATTGTTGTTGTTGTTGTGGTTAGAAGAACTATCGCTATTAATACTTGTGTTTGCTCTTGTTGTTGTTGTTGTTGTTGCTGTTGTTGGCTGCATGCGATGCAGTGGCTTGCCACGTGCGCGTTTCGTTACAGCCACTGGTCTCGGCGTTGTCGTTGTTGTTGTTGTTGTTGTAGTTGATGTAGTTGTTGTTGTTGTCGTCGTTGTCGTCGTTGTTGTTGTGGACGATGTTGTTGCCACCTTGCTTCGCCAATTGGCCAGCTTACTGTGAAAATCTTCAGCCTTCACGCGATTGAAGAGGAAGCGGGCGCGTCGATTGAAACTCTGCATTCCCTTAGGCCCAATCGGACGAAAGTTCGATTTGATGCCCACGCGCAGCACCGGGTTGTAGGCATTTGTATACTGATAATATCCCCGTTCCATTGACTCTCTGAAGTGGCAATCGTTTGTGGCGTTTCTCTAAGGAGAGGCAAGTAAATGATGAAGAAGAAAGTTACAAATGAAGCCAAGAAAGTGGGCAGCTGCATTGAATATGCAGCATAAAAGAACAAGTTTCTCCTAGATCAAGAAATATTTCATAAATTATTCTCCATTTTTGGTTTACTGTTTTATTTTTATTTTTTTACTTTTCATTAATAAAAGATATATATATTTTCACAAAAAATTGATCATGATTTTATATCGCAAACTCTATTTATAAATATTTTTCCAAATCCATAAAATATTTAATAAATCAATATAAAAATATCAATTTTTTTTTTATTTATTAAGATATTGATATTATATCGCAAGATTTATCACTATTTCATATCGAAAATTCTTCGGTATCTTGTCTAAACAAATGGAAATCCCACTGCTTACCTTTCCAACAAGTTTGCCTTGGGCAAAGCATAAATAGTAGTCCACATCCTTGGCATAGATGGTGATTTTGAAATCCTCGCTGAGTACATCGCCAACACTGTTCATTGTTAGGGATTCTGCAATGGGCATTATCGAGAGAAGGAAATCAATTTTAATTAATTATAAACAAACAAAGTTTTCTTTCTCTCTCTGCTAGTTAAGTAAATATTTAATGCTAGTTGAGCCAGCTTATGTGAGTGGAAGGGGCAGTCGGGGATGGGGGATTGCAATCCACACACACACACACACACTCACACATATACATACATACACATACACTTCACTGGCCAGATAACCCAATTAATTGAAAGGTTTTCGATAAAGTTATGAAAGGTTTGATTAGGCTGCCTGGGGGCAGCGGCGCTACTAACGATAGAAAGAGAGTCAAACATTTAATGAAATTAACTGAGCGTAGATTTGACAGCGGCCCTCTGCCTGAACAGCAAAGAGTCGGAGCTCTACGCCCCGACTTCACACCATTCTCAGTCGAATAATCATCAAGGTGCGTGTCAGTCAATTACCGAGCTGAACTGAGCTCTTATCAGGCTGCGCCAATCATGAGGCCCACGATAATTTGTGAGAGCCTCGTTGAGCGCCCAGAAAGGTTCTCCCTATGACCCTGGTTTTTGGTTTGGCAGATGAATAACCCCGAAAGTCATTCAGCATCTATCTTCACACATCGACTGAGTCGGACCTTCGCGCTAGCAATGCATCCGAGAGGTAAGCATAAATCGATCAATTGGCTAAGCTCTTTCGGCCTGAGTCCAAGTATTCCCTTCAAATCAACCGAAGCACAAGAACAACAGCAATGCGTAGCACTTGCTCCTACAATTCTATATGAGATAAGATAAAATACCAAACTGACAACATTTTTCGTTTAATTTATACCGAGACTGACGCCCAAGCACCTCTCTTGTGCATCTATCTCACTCTCACTCACGCACTCTGCCTCTCTCTCCCTCGCTCTTTTGCTTGATCATCTACTCTGGCGAATTTCACGTGCGAAGAATTCTAGACTATTATTTATGCGACCTGAACTTTGTACTGCTCAAGTGGCTAGCGATTGCTGAGGTGCGTGACGCAATCTAAAGAAATTTCACAATGCTCGTCGAAAGCGGTCGAATCGATATGATCTGTTCAAATTGTTCGGCTACTACTGTACTATATATATGATACATCTCGATGTTTCATCAGATATAGTTCTACTATATACTGAGTCGTTAACTTCTCACGCTTATTGCTTGGGACTGCTGGGGCTGTCGCTCTGGCGTAGATATCAAGCCATTTGTGAATGCGGAGCTCTGCTCCTGAACTTCACCCACTGAGGCGGCCTGCTCGCGAGGCAAATAAAAAACAAGTAAGAAGGCTCCAGTCGAGACTGCTCGACTAGGAGATACCCTGAACCCTCCAAGCTGATATTCGAATCATTCTGGACTACTTTTATGCACACATACATACACATGCACTTATACGCACGCGCTCTGCTAACTGCGCAGTAAGCAGCGGCTGCGCTTGGGCTGCGCTGCAATGTGGGCAATATTATGGGAATTTATTTGTTGAATAATTTCTTTTGTAGACATACGATCTTAATGAAATTTTTAGAGCGTAATCATATGGTTAAATTGTGTGTACATTCCAAAGCACAAGTCTCTAGTACTTGAAATGCGTTTTTTACAAATTGGGGGCGATGGGGGCGTGGTATCCAAAATCTGTAAATTACAAAATCTTTGTGCCCATAAACTCTATATACAACGCAAATTTGAAGTCTCCAGGTTTAAAAGTGTTCAAACTAGGCTGAAAAAACCAAGTCGATTTTTCGATTATTCTCGATAAAAAAGTTATCGGATGAGTTATCGAAAAAATAAAGCAAACTCGTACTGCCTATGGTATACACGAGTATGCATGCCAAATTTCAGCTCTCTAGCTCTTATATCTTCTGAGATCCTTTTGCTCATACGGACGGACGGACGGACGGACGGACGGACGGACGGACGGACGGACAGACGGACGGACGGACAGACGGACGGACGGACGGACGGACGGACGGACAGACGGACAGGGCTATATCGACTCAGCTCGTCGTCCTGATCAAGAATATATATACTTTATGGGGTCTGCGATGATTCCTTCTGCCTGTTACATACTTTTCACAAAACCATTATACCCTGATTTCCCATTTTCAATGGGTTCAGGGTATAACAACAAGAAAAAAATTAGTGGGAGGAAGGGGGCTGGCTCCAGAGGTAAGAGTGCCGCATGAATTCAAATAAATTGCAAGAAGAAGAGGCAGACAATGAAGAAGAAAAAGCAGAAGACGGCGGCTGTCTTGAAACCGCAATCGTAGCGCCCATGGCGGACCACATAACATCAATCAAATATTAAATTACCAATAATTTAATTAAGCCCGCAATATGCACAGACAGCGCCAGAGTTCAAAATAAATGCCAATTCAATTTAAAAGCCATTCGAGCAGCTCTCGCGATACGCGCGCGCCCTCCTCAAACAATGGGAATTGATGGGCGCCGAAACAAACCATAAATCATAGATATATATGCAATATATATGTTTATCACATGCAGAGAGTGCGAGGGTGATATCAGCTATAGCTGTACTTACGTGCTAGCGATATATCCTCGGCCGTTACCCAGCCGTGCGCATTGATATGCAGCGCCCGATTGTTGTCGGTCTTCAGGGTTAGAATGTATTCCGTTTTCTTTGCACATGTTGTAGATACAAGAGCCAGCATTACCTGCAAGGGAAAAGAGTTGCGAATAGAGTATATGGTATATGGTATATGGTATATGGCACATGGCTATATGGCATATAGAAAAGCATAAGCCCCAAAAACTGCAGCCTTAATCCCGCCCATAAATTTCAATTAAATACGCTCAACTTTTTAATGTGGACCCGGCCAAGAACAACTGCACCTGAGTCGGAGCCGGAGCCGGCAACTGTGCACACCTGTGCCACAAAATGCCATTGCCATTAAAGCAGCTCTCGCCAAATTGCCTTTTTTCGCATGGGACATCAGCTAATCCTGCACATTGTAGCCCCAACTCTGCTGAGGGTCGCGACTGAGTGTGCTCGAATCGAGGTTGGAGTGTGAGAGCCACAGCCTCAAGGAGTGAAGCCTCTGCACATTCAACAGCTACTCAACGGCCAACACTCGATATGAATTTCTGATCGTGTCATTGCTTTTCATTCAGTCTATTCCAAATGCAAATATATATTCAATTATATTTATAGATATATGTAGAGCTGTATTCTGATATAATTGATGTGCAATTGTAGTCAGTCAACAGCAAGGCATCTGATGGGTCCGTCAAATATGAAGATCTCTGTATACCCATCATGTGCTTCATCATTAAGTTCGCTTGAGATATATGTGAGCATCTGCAGACAAACCCAAAGAGGAAATTAAAGGGCTTATCAACAGATAATCGAAAGTAAAAAGCAAAGCATCAATCAAATCAAAGTTACGCAAGCGACGCGACGCTTCAATCAAGCATTTAGCTGCTGTTGCCAACTGCCTTGCCTTGGCCGACACGTGTCTGGGCCATGTCTGCCTGGCACTGGCATGTTTCATAGATGTATTTATTTATTTATTTTTTCACATTGCCCAACTCTTAAAGCATTTGCATAAGCGACTCCTGTGCGAGGGAGGAAGTACGTAGCGAAAAGCTGTTGAGTTCGCAATTTGCCATGGAACCCAAAAAAAAAAAATATATATATGCGCCGTCAGCAAAATAAGCTGTACTACAAAATGTAAAATTGATATGTTTTGGTATGGCAAGCCAAAGAGAAGCAGAAGGAGAAAGAGAGACAGAGAGAGAGAGAGGTAGGAAAGAGAGGGGGGGAGGGGGGGGGGCTTGCCACACGGCCCTATAGCTCCGGTTGCAAGCTAATAATGACAGTTATTTTTGTCGAATGGCTAAAAATATGTGCGTGTATCTAAATCGGGGGCTTACCGGGAGGCTTAGGCACATAAGTGATTGCAAACAATTAGCGGAACACAGAAAACAATGTGTGAATGCGCAATGCGCAATGCGCAACGCGATACAAATTGACCCAACTCTAGGGAGCCCCCTCTAAAATCGACGCCCCTGGCAAATGCCCCTTGGCACTTGACGAAATTCGTGAACTTTACTTCTCAGCTGCTCGTCAGACGTTTCATCATTCTTCAAGTTGACACCAAATCAAACAGTGTCAGTTTATTTCTCCTATGCCCCTCTGCTCCGCCCCTCATGGAGGCCTTCTGTTTGTACTACTCATAAAAAACCAAATTGTTTGGCTTAGCTTTCGGAGTTTTCAAACTGTTTTTGTGCTGACTGCCTTAATGATGTGCGACCTTTTCCATAGTTCAATGACGTTTTGGCGTGCGTGTGCGAGTGCGAGTGCCAGTGCGTGTGTAATAATAATAATAATTATTATTTTTTATTTTATTACTATGTTGCTTGGCTCAAGTGGCTGTGCAACAGCGCCCTGCCAGACCCTGAGCAGATCCGAGCAGACGTAGCCACTCCAATGTACACACCACGGGCTGACCGGCTCAGATATCAGAGATCTCCCTACTCCCCTGCTGCCCTGCCGCTCCACCACTGACGCCGCCCCCTTGCTCCACACTCCACTTCACTTGATTACACACTCGATCTTGTTATAATAATCAAACGGAAAGAAATACTACACACATATTGATACATATATATAAATATGAGTTTTTTTTTACGATAATTATTTCGAGTGCTGAAAAACAATTGTCACAACGAATTTTATTATCTTCTTCATTTCTCGTTTTCGTTTTCGTTTTCATTTTTTGCTTTTAAAAACTCGATAGATCTACCAGATATATATACTTAACAGTCTGTTAACAGTCTGTCAATACACTGTCAAAAAAAAACCCTAAAGCTATTTTCTAATTTGTTTTTTTTTTTTTGAATATTCATAATAATTAGAAACATTTTTACACCGTATCGTATCGTAAATCAATCGTCGCAATCTGATCTTTAATAAAATAATACGTACACGCCCATTATCAAGTGAGTCGGAGATAAAGGGCGAATGTGCGAAGTCATCTTGAGTATTTAATTAAGTACAAGCACAATGGGAAACTATTGGGGAATTCAGTCACGCTATGGGATACCCTTTCAACTAAGTTGAGCTATCTCGCAGACCATATATGACCTCAGTTTAACAGAGAATGCTGATGTGCCGTTAATCGGGCAATACTGTTATATAAACTGTTATACATAATGCTATTTCAGTAGCTTTACTTACCATCAGTATAAAAATAATTCTGACATTGAGCAGCATGAACTGTAGTAACCTGTAATACACAGAGAAACAGATGATGAATATCATTTAGAGAGGATAACATGCGACTTACGATATCTACTAAAAATAAAGTGTTATATGCCAAAAAGAATTAGCATAAATCATACAGATTATTAATGATTATTATTTGTTTTATTGATTTGTTTTGTTTTCTGTTGTTGTTTTCATCTCGACGAGTACAACTTCCGCCTAGGGGCTGGGATGGGATGGGGAAGTTGAAAACAGCAATTAAGTCATTTCATTTGATTGCCCGATCGTGAGCTCTTTAAACAAAAGCGTCAATATTACTGAAGGCTCAAAAGATGAACTACTAGCTTTGAGTAGAGTAGACGAGTAGTATTCACTTGAGTAGCATTCATGAGTAGTATTCATGAATACAAGTACTGCTCTGGCTCAATGTCAATGGTTATGGAAAAAGCCAAGAAAACGTTTCAGATTTTGTTTTCTTTTTTGCTCATTTCTGTTTTTGTTTTTGTCGTGCCTATCGATTGGATCATATATATAAATGTATATGGTATGGTATATATACCATACTTATATTTTTAGTGCATATATTTTGTTTCAGGCGTCGCTGACTAATCCCCTTTAGCAGCAGCAGCGGTAGAAGCAGAGGCAAAAGGTCATTGATTTCAGCTTAGAGAGCTGCCCAGAGCCAAAGAGCCATAGCTCGAGAGGGTAGTTTCTTTAGACGAAGGTCCCTTGTCCTCGGCTCTTGGGCTTGTTCTTATTCTTGTTCATTTTTGTATTTTTTGCCTCTTTTACTTTTTGCTGCCGCTGCCGCTGCCTCTGCTGCTGCTGCTGCCGCTGTCGCTGCTGCTTTTGAAAAGTGAAAATCGCGCACAAGCCACAATGGAAACAAAACCGACTTGAAAGTGCACGAGAAATCAATAGAAGGGACCATCGAATAACCTGAGTGAGCTACAAGCCACAGACCAAAGCCAAGTCCCGGCCAGAGGCAAGAAGCAAGAGGCAAGAGGCAAGAGGCCAATGCCATGTGCAAATTACTGAGCCCAATTCCGAAGGCGCTTTGCGCTCACAGTAGGCAGTCCCCAAATAAACTATATAGAGTATGTACGTATGTATATATATGTGCTATATATTTGCACGTCTGTATATAGGTGTAGCTCGGCATTTGGATTGTACGCGTGACTCTTGTGCGATTTTTATCATCATTTTTCAATTTCACAGCAGACAATAAAAAAGTTCAATTCAAATAAACCAAGCAAATGCCATCGCATCGCCAATATCTGTTCAAACATTCTCGCATCGATGAGGCTGTTTTGGTGTTCTGGTTCCAGGTCTTGATTCGCAAAGCCAAGAAGCAATTAAACGAGTTCTGTTTATCAATTATGTTCGCTTTTTTCCTTGTGCATTTTTATTGTATTCTTTTATTTTATTTTTGCCTTGGTTTAGTTTTTGTTTAGCTTGCATTCGACACAATTTTGATTTAGCCAGCTCACATTTCAATGAACTGCTGCTGACGAAGGAAATTCAATAATGAGTGATATACAAAACGAACTTGGCTTTGATTATAAATTTTGTAAATCTAAGATGAAGTTTATAGTCTATCCCTAATATAATAATTGACGAAACTTTAAATATATTTCAATTGAAATCTTGATTCATGTTGATCTGGTTCAAGGAGCTTTACACACAGCTCTTTTCTTTTTCTATCGAGCTAGCAAGACGTCGAGCCAACATCAGCTCATGTTCAGCTAACTGTTTAGCTTATCAACCCTAGCGTCGCGATTCCTGGCGAATTGAGACCGAAATGGAACCCCGAGGCCAGTTTCTAACACACAAAAGCTCAGTTAATGCCGACATGTGACCCGTAGATGAGGCACAGTTGTTGTTGTTGCTGTTGTTGTACTCTACGCATATTCTATTCTTCTCTTTCCTCTTCTTCGTCTACTTCATTGTTGACTGTCTCTACTATGCCACATTTCTCATGTATGTAACTTGATATTGGCTCCTTCTATGACCGTCTGTGCTTTACTTTTGTTTCCCCTTACAATGCGGCTCATAATTACCTTTTTGGTATGCAGACAGAAGCGCACTGCAGACGCCCAAGTGAACTTGAGTAAAGTTTTTCGTACGTTTCGGATCTTCGGAGCCCTTTTCAGCTACCGTCAGCTCAACTCAGAGATTGAGTCTGACGCAATAGACGACACGACGCGATGCGACGTTCCCAATGCCATGCGCCATGCATATTGAATAGTTTTTATTGCAGTCTGCATTTTCCTTTCTATTTGTTTGCCTATGAGAGGTGGAGGGGTCTTTCACTTGCGGTGCGTGCATATTTTAGCCATTTTATTAAAGCTGTTGCTGCAATTGAGGAATTTGGTTTTGGGCCAAGACGTGCCATGCACAGGACCACACAAAAAGCTGCTCAACGGCGACTTCCAGTCGACGCGATGCAACGAGCTTTCGCACAGGTAGCTCGCAGCTGAGGAGCAGCTTGTAGCTGGCGGGCAGGCCAAGATAAGCTTTTAAAAGCTCACCAATACAGATCCACTGCATTTGAAATCTAGATTCGAGTGAGTTCGTGTGGCACGTTCCTTAGAGCTGGGCATACTTGAGCGACGCACGTCAGAGGCTATCTAATCGTGGCACCAACTTATTGCCAGCCTTAATTAGTTTGCAAAATGTAAATCAAATATGACAGTGCCAAAAATGCCAAGAGTCAATTGTCAGGCAGGCAAAGCGAAAGCAACAGAGAACTCAAACAGATCGCCAGATTAAATACTAAGCGCAACTTGTCAACTCGCGCCACTTATTTCAAATCTGATTTAAATAGTTGTTTATTTTTTTGACTTGTACCGTGTTTTTGATTTTAGCTACGCTCGTCAAACGTCAAAATGCTGTTTACTTTTCGAAATTGAAATTGATTTGATTTTTTGCCCGTGATTTGCACGTTTTGCCCCTTCGGCTGTGAACTTGTTGCTTTTGGCCAATCGCCCCAGCCACGACAGCTCGGCCAACCAGTTAGTGTGGCATGCAAAGAATTCGTGCTCGATTAGATTAGGCCACGAGTAGATGGCCGACTGTGCTGCGGGTCAAGATCCGTGATAAGCGTGCTGGCTATCAACTGTGATAAGGCCTGTGAGGACTATTTGCCAGGACTACTCTGCATGATTAGTCAGAGTGGACTATCTGACTGTCTGATTGCTGCCACGTGCTGTCTCTAGCTCTCTCTCTCTCTCTCTCTCTCTCTCTCTCTCTCTCTCTCTCTCTCTCTCTCTCTCTCTCTCTCTCTCTCTCTCTCTCTCTCTCTCTTTCTGTCTGTTCAGCTGTCTCATCAATCATGGAATCGCTTAATAACAATTACAGTAGCAACATCGTTTTCCTCTGTTCCCTCTGCCCCGAGTTTTTTTTTTTGTGGCCAAGTGTGAAATTTCCTGTTGTCAATTGTGCGTATAACGATGACGATGATGGTCACCCTAATGCAATGATACCCCCGCTGCAGCAGAGCCTCCTACCCCTGCTATATGCTTTTTACCATACTGCACTTAATGCAATTTTCGCTTACTTTTCTTTTAGGGGTTGCTGCTGCCACGTAACTTTATGTTATTTAATGCCCTTGCAACATCCACCTTGCGCTTTTTTAGTCCTCCTCAGTCAACCCCAACCCAGATCCTGTTACCTATGTCCTGCTGCACCCTCTGCCCCTGCCCCTACCCCTGACCTGCCTCTGTCCTGCTGCCATTGCAACTCTTGCCTTGTTCTTGTTCCTGGTTGTTGCTTGTTCCCTTCCATGTCGCTGTTGTTGCTGCGGCTGCTGCTGTTGCTGCTGTTGCTGCTGTTGCTGTTGTTGCTGCTGTGTGTGTTAGGGGCGTGCGCTTTAATGAAGTTCCAAAGGGAAACATTTTGCTGGGCTTACTGACTTTGACAGTTGGCAGCTTGTGGATTTTTTTATGCTCTTTGTTCTTTTGCCTATGCAGTAGGCGGACGGGCGGGCGGGCAAGTCGTGTGTGTTATATGAAAATATTTATACAATTTCCATGCAACTGGGAAGGCTCTATTAAAAATGTTGAAAAACTAAAAGTTGAAGAAAACCCCATAGACTTAATTCGTAAATAAGAATAAATAGCCAGTTGTATAGGTCTTTAATTTAGTCGAATAAAATAAACGGTGCCTTAGCTATAATTTAATTACTTTGTATTTAATTTCATATTCATTCTAATCTCAAATAAATATGTAAAAAAACCAATTTATCAATTTTATTTTCCTTATGGTTTCTATTATAACTTTCATGCAAATAACCTATGTAAAAAAAAGTCTCTCAATTTAGTTGACGTTCTTAGCATACTTTTTGCATAAGTTCTAGAACAGACTCGAACTCTCTCGTATTATCGAGTTTTTTCGATTATTCATATGCGTCGGACTTGAACTTGCAGGAACAACAACGCCCCACATATGAATCGCAATTTGAGTTGGCTGCAAAGAACAACAAACAACAACAACAACAACAACAGTCGAGTCAGAAGTTCAGTGTACTGCAGAGATAAGCTAATGCTGTTGCTCGTTGCAGAAGAGCATCTATGTATCTATCCATCAAGATGCGATAGATGCGGTGCTGATGGAGTAGGTGCTACAGGGAGTGTGGCTGATGGAGGATGGAAATTGGCTGTGCTTAAGCTGGTGTCGTGCCGGTACACAAATCTGGGCTCATTAGCGGTACCCCTTCTGGAATGTAGCTCGGTCTGTTGCTGCATAATTCTCAAATAGGCGTGAAAATAACACAGCGACAATTGCCGCTGTAGTGAGAGTGAGAGGGTTGAGAAGGAGAGAGCGTTAGCCAGAGCGAGAACGAGAGAGAGGGCTTGTGCAGTGCTTATATCTAATGCGATTTTCGCCTGTAGCGCGGGGTGTTGTGGAACAGCTGCTGGGCTGATAAGCGGATTTTACTGTCGCACAATTTCGTTATTTTCCTGTGTTACTCTTCTCTCTTCTTCTTCTTTTCGTTTTCAAGGAGTGGAAATGGGGTGCGGG